AGTTGACTTTGATTGTGAAGACTTTCAAATAAAAAGTTGCAAAGCTGAGTCCCCAGAGATTCTGCTCCAGCAAGGGGAAGAGCCTATCACCTATAATTCTGCTAAGTCGTCGATGATTCCACTGCACGACAAAGATTTCAACTTAAAAATAGGGATGGGGAGTGGTAACGCACAGTAAAAGCGAACATTCATTGAGTAGACAGTATGTGCTGGGCAATGCTGACCACTTTCCACGCAGTAACTCGTTGGGTCCTCCAATGTGAAATACATGCCACTACCGTTAACTTGATTTACGGATGAGGACCTGAGGCTTAGAAAGCCCAGCACTTGCCCTGGTTCTGACAGCTAGTAAGAGGTGGAATTTCAACTAGGTGGAGTTTAGAGCACATGCTCTGTTTACTTCCTTGGGATAATGTTTAAGATGATGAGCACCTTGACCTTTTAGGGTATCACAGAGAGCCACCTGGCCAGAGCTTCCAATCCTGGGAAGTTTTAAGAAGCACTGGTGCCTGGTCCCCATACCAAATCAGCGCGAATCTCTCCTGGGTGTTTCAGGTGTTGTTGCTACTTTTATTTGCTTAGCTACCCATGTGATTCTACCGTGCAGCCAGAGTTGAGAACCCAGAATTTGGGTATTGGAATCCTAGAAGGCTTTTTGCTGTAAGTCCCCAACCGTCAATGCAGGTCCCAGCTCTGCCACTCACACAAGGCCTGGAAGCAAATGCTTTTCGTTGCTGAGTGTTTCAGCCTGTTGCTAACGTGGCCTGAATCCAAGAATTAGTGGAAGCTTCCAGAAGCACAAAGTTCTGTGGTATACTGGGTGTCTCCGACTTGTACTTGTCTGCCTATGCCTCTTCCCCCTTAATTGTGCAGGAGAGGAGTGCTTACCAAAGGACTGTGATTTAACGACCGAGAGGTCCCCACTGAAATCACACCCCATGGTACTCACTGCGTACCGCCATACATAACCAGGGACATGATTACTGACTTCTAGTCTTCTCTGGGCTGGAGCACAACTCTTGGGCAATTCTCAGCATGGGAGATGGAGCGGGCTTGTTATCAGAGCGAAGGACAGCTCTGAGTTCCAGTTCGACAACAAGCCTTCTCTGAGCACCTCCTCCTTACCTGACACTGGGCTAGGTCCTGGGAGACACCAGCATGCCTCACGGAACTCAGATTCTATAAGGAAACAGACATACTTCTTCAACCATTCAGTCCATACCTATGTGCCAAACTCTGTTCAAAGCACTAGCAACAAGGACAGTATTTAAAATATTAAACTGGTTTGGCACAAGCAGGGAATCCGAAAGGACGTTCTGCTGGGCCAAGTGTTAACCTTTAAGCTGCTGGCCCATGGAGAAGATCTGGTGCCATTCTGAGAAAGGTCCAGGATGGCTGGGATACTGGGGTGGGGGGAGAAAGGTGGGGTTGCTGTAGCTGCAGTTCACCAGCAACGTTTTGTTCTGTTATATATAAGGTCACCGTGAATCAGAGCTGACTCAAAAGCAGCTGACAGTAACAAACGTATCTCAGTATTTTAATAACTGGTGGTGCAAACAGGTAAGCACTTGTCTGCTAAATGGAGGCTGGTGACTGACATGGAGTCGCTCAGAGTTGCAATTAACTCAACGGCACCCAACAACAAAGTCTTCAGTCCCTAGGTGGTGCAAACGGTTCAAGCACTCAACTGCTAACCACAAGGTTGATGGTTCGAGTCCACCAAGAGATGCTTCACAAGAAAACTCTGCAATGTACTCCTGAAAAATGAGTCACTGAAAACCCAATGGAGCACAAGTCCACTCCGATACGCATGGGGTCGCCATGAGTCGTAATCAACTCGACAGCAAATGATCACTAGTTAATGCTGTTATCAGTGACTGCCAGCTGACGGTCAGCCCCAGCTGAGCACACAAGTGAAAAAGCCAGCCAAGGTTCCTGACCCCTTGAACTTACCTTCTATTTCAAGGGTGGGCAAACTTTGGCTCTAAAGGACCAAACCATTTTTTCAGGGCCTGCAGGCTATAAGGTCATCATTTTACTATAAAAGCAAATACAATGGTCCGATCTGTAATTGATCATAGGGCTGGCGAGGCAGTGTTTCACTATTGTGCACAGAATGGTCCTGAGTCTTTGATTTGAAGGCAGCTAACAATAACAATGGTAGATGCTAACAGTAGGAGCTCTGGTAGCACAATGCCTAAGGCACTTGACTGTTAACCAGAAGGCTGGTGGTTCAAACCCACAGCCACTCCTTGGAAGGAAGGTTGGGCAATCTACTTCTGTAGTGATACTGCCTCGGGAACCCAAGGAGGGGTCGCTATGAGTCAGGGCCCATTCGGCGGCACATAACAACAATAACAACAACAATGGTAGATGCTAACAGTAATTAGGAAATAAAGAGGAGGTGATAACTCAGCCTGGGAGTTGATGGGAGTTGACGGATGCTCCCTGAAGGAGGTGGCAGCCATACTGCCTGCTCAGATGCCTGACACTGAAACAGGCCAACTCACCAGGGGCCTTGGAGAGCCTCTGAGAAGCACATGGCTTCCCTTGTGGTTGTCATCACCAGCTCTTTTCTTGTGCCCTCAGGCCCTCCACAGCTACAACGACGGAGATTTTGAAGGGGCCAGGCGGCTCGGGCGGAACGCCAAGTGGGTGGCCGTCGCCTCCATCATCATTGGCCTTCTCATCATCGCCATCACTTGTGCGGTTCACTTCACAAAGCAGTAAGTAGGAGCCCTGAATTCCTCCCTCAA